ATTAACCGCCAAAACAAATTGACTGGAAACAAGATGGAAATAATCTTAAACCCATCAAAAAATAAAGAGTAGCTTGTTCCTAATTATACCATTCTTTATCAGCAGATATATACATGAACATATATATATATATGTATGGACATATACTGAATTAATAATCTTAATCAACACTGTGTTTATCAAGATGCTAAACATATTCAATGCAGATTTAAGCCATATGTTACTGGAACAACAACGGTCCAATCAAAAATCATTTCTGAGACTAGAATTTGGACAGCAATATATTTTTTTTCTCTCTTAATTTCCATTAAATCCTTATCAGCTGATGAAATAGTCTTTATATTTTCCTGTAGCATTTTCAAAAATGTTTCTTCTCAGAACCACTTCTTAATGCCTTAACAATAATAAGCTATCAGAGCTTCTATAAACTTAATGAATACTTCAGTGATCATGATTACAAAACACTTTTGGAAATCAGAAATATTAACTTCCTGTTAAGTGCATGCCTCTAAAAGTTCTTTGCTATTCAATGCCTAAAAGCCTGTTGTTTTAAATTGCACTAAGACAATTTTTATTTTTTTTTATCACAGTACAGCTGACATTAAGTTTAAAAAGGAAAAGGCCCTTTCTTCAAAAGCTAAATACTGCATTATTTTGTATTCTATCAAACTAGAGACATATTATATTTACGAGCTCATTAGGGCGTGAATGAATACGTCACTGACTTAAACAGAGTTTGGATTTGCCCATTACTCTGCTGGCATTCTTTTTTCTTTTTCTTTTTCTTTTTTTTTTTTTTTTTTCCTACATAAACTAATGATCTCAGATGAAATCTGTTATTTTCCTTTGGAGATTGTTGTTCCTTCTACTTCACTGTTAATAGAATTGGGAAGCAGAATGGGGATGACAAAGAACGTATGTGTGAACACAAAGTATTGCTTCAGCCTGGTGAGATTTAGTAAGTGTTTTTTGAACCAATAGAGTATCCATTATATTCTTTTATTTTGATTGCAGAATTATGAACAAATCAATTTATTCTTCAGAAATCTCACCAAGCTTGATGGGTATAGTTATTTCCATTTAGTGTAAATGCATAAGTTAAGTGACGCAACAAAACTATGATAAGCTATGTGGCAACATTCCCATGGTAAGCAAGTTGTATCAACAACTGTAAGGTCTATTACTGCTGCACGCCATATTCATGTTCAGTTGAAGACTGGTTTGAATATCTGTTTGAATGCCTGAAAGCAAACTGAACTGCTACCAGTGGAAAGCCTGTAGTCTTTCTCTGGATATGCTTCAAATGAGAGAATAAGGGCAATGTTTTGTGCCTTGCTGAATCTTTCCTCACTCCTCTTTACACCTGGGACTGCTGAAACTACCATTCTACCACCTGACAAAGTGTGATGGAGCTTATTAGCCTGGCTATTTGCCTCCTATGTAACAATCTGACTTAGCAGGTGGAATGCATAGTTCTAATGAATCCCCACTTGTAGGGAAGGAAACTGAAAGACTAAAACTCCTGATAGCTAGCAAGAGATGTTCACTTCACTTTTTTTTTTATTTATTTTATTTTTTTCAGTATGCTCCATTTCGGCCATGAGCTTAATATTTGACATTTATTTATTTATTTTATTTTATTTTTTAATTATATATATATATTTGAATGAAAATTGAAGAAAATGTTGAAAAGATTTATGCATATACTCTTACTGCCTCAAGTCACCTATATTATGATTTAAGTTGCCCTTCTTGGAGGAAAAGGACAATTCTGATATAAGAAACAGAGGCTCTTGAAGGAAATGTCCAGTAATTTCCTAGTGGTATAAACTGTTCCACTCAGGTTAACAAATTCTTCACTATAAAATAAAGCTTGAAATAGGTGGAGGCAACTGAAGTGGTGAGGGAGTTAAGTATGGGAAAAATACATCGTTAATAAAGTGCCAAGCCAGTCACAGAATAACAGAAAGGTTTAGGCCCAACCTCACTGCTCAAGCAGGGACACCTCTTTGGGCAACCTGTTCCAGTGCTTGGTCACTCTCACAGTAGTGTTTCCCAAAATTCAGAAGGAAAGTGTTTCGGTTTCTTTCTGCCCTTTTCCTCTTGTCTTTGCACAGGGCACCACTGGAAAAAGCCTGTCTCAGTTCTCTTTTCCACCCTCCCTTCAGATACTTACACACAGTGGTAAGATCTCCCACTGTGCTGTGCTTTCTCTTCTCCAGGTTGAACAGTCACAGATCTCTCAGCCTTTCCTCATAGGAGAGGTGCTCCAGTGCTGTCATCGTCTTTGTGGCCCTATGTTAGACTCTCTCCAGTAGTCTCTCTCTCTATGTACTCTCTCTTGTAATGGAGGGCCCAGAGCTGGATACAACACTCCAGGTGTGGCTTCACCAATGCTGAGAATGATCACTGTTCTTGACCTGCTGGCAGTACTTTAATGCAGCTAAGAATGCTGATAGCTTTCTTAGTGGCAAGGACTCTCTGCTGGCTTATGTTGAATTGGTGTCTACAGGAACCCTCCAGGCATATTCTGCTTGGTGTCTGCAGTTATTCCTCCTTGGGTACATGACTCGGAACTCTCTCTTGGCTGAACTCCATGAGGTTCCGGTCAGCCCATTTCTCCAACCTTTCTAGACTCCTCTGAATGACGCTCTAGCATATTAGCCAGTCCTCCCAGTCTTGTGTCATCTGCAAACTTGTTAAGGGTACAATCTGACCCATTGTCCACATTATTAATGAAGATGTTAAACACGACTGGATCCAGTATTGACTGCTGTGGTACACCAGTAGTTACTGGTTTCTGACTAGAATCTGCACCACTGATCATTACTTCCTGGACTCAGCCATTCATCCAGATTTCAATTCACGTCACTGTCTGTCCATCCAGCCCACACAACAGTTTGTCTATAAAGATCTTATAGGAGAACGTCAAAGTTAGGTTTTATTAAGTCTAGGTTGACAGTATCCAATGCTCCCTCCTCATCTACCAGGCCAGTCATTTTATCATAGAAGCTTATCACATTGGTCAAGCTTTTCATGGTTTTCTTGCCTTTCATTTTCTTGCCTTTTTTTTTTTTTGGTTTTCTTGCCTTTCATGTCCTCCTTCTTGCCCTTCTTGGAAATAGGGTGTGGCATTTGTTTTCTCCCAATCTTTGGGAATTTATCCCAGTTAAAGTTGTTGAACGAAGATTATCAAGAGTGACAATGCAATGACATCTGCTGGTTCTTTCAGCATCCCCTAGTGGCTAATGGATTTATGTATGTTCAGTTTGCTTAAGTATTCCCTGGCTTGTTCCTCTTCCACATTGCAAGTATTTTCCTGACAGTGGAAAATACTGAAAATGCAGTCACACCTGCTTGTTTATGTGCATGTGGCAAGCATGTAATCTCTCACCCCCATCTTGAGAACCATCTTTCTGCAGTGGTGTACCATATATAACCACTTTCTTGCTTTCTGTGAAAGACCAGCTTGCAAATCAGATCCCCACACATCCCACTGGCAGCTGCAAATAGAATGCCAGCCTGTGTTCTGTGTTTCAGAGTCTGCAACTTGTATTATATTTTGGAGAACTACATCTGACACATTTAAACTCAAAGGATATCAAACTTTATTTCTCTTGGCAGCAAGAGTAATTGCTATGATGTGCAATAAAACTGATAGGGAAGTTCAGATCTGTTTGCTTTCCCCATTTTATAGCACAATTTTTCCTGCAGATCAATGTTTTGATGGACACATACAAAAAAGGACACATATGGAGAGATCTTATCTACCTTAAACTGGTGTAAATCTACCCCAACTGCAGTAAAGTCAGACAATTTAACTTGGAATTAGAATATAGCCTCTTATGTGAGACAATAAATAGTTCAGGCTGCTTAAAAAGTTATCTTTATTCCCATCTTTGCATACTTAAAAAATAAAAAAAAAATATTAAATTTCCCTTTTCAATTTTGAAAATACATGTTAAAGAAATACGCATGCTTTCTCGAAGTGCCTTATAACACTCTCATCCTACATTTTAAGTAAATCTTCCATAATGAAAAATCAAATGCAGGGAACTCCTCATGGTCAATGATGTTTGTTCTTCTCCACTGCTCATCTGTCTGTATCATAAATACTATTGGTCAGTCTAGTTTTATTTTTTATTCTTCCCCTTTTATTCTCCCCCTTCCCCTCCCCCTTCCTTTTTTGCTAAGGTTTTTATTTTTGCCTTTTTTTCTTGTGTTTTGCCTTTTTTAAAAACATATAAAGTATATAAAATATAAATATATAAAAATTATATGATATATAAAATATTATATAATATACATCTCATATATATTATATAATATAAAATATATAAAGTAAAAAAAAAAAAACATATATATAAATAAATAAAGTAATATAGCAAACATTAGCAGGCTTCCTTTCTGTTACGGGGTCTAGGGGTGGGGTGCGCTTCTCTAGTCACTCTAATTACAAAGTGACATAGAAACAAAAATTGCACTGCGCATCAAATTTTCTCATTGAAATGTGTTATAAATGAGGTCTCAACTCAATCTGAATTTTGTAATATTAATAAAACAAATATTTCTAAACGGTATAAAAGGCAAGTATACAGGGCGTCTACACTCCACCAACACGCACACACGAACATCAAACATTCTAAATATACAGAACATTGCTTTGCATACTAAACCCGAGTATGCCTATTGTCCTGGTTTCAGTGAGAACAGAATTAATTTTCTTCCTAGTAGCTGGTGGAATGCTGTCTTTTGGCTTAGGATGAGAAGAGTTCTGATAACACCCCGATGCTTTAATTGTTGCAGAGCAGTGCTTATACCAAGCCAAGGACATCTCAGCCTTTTGCTCTGCCCTGCCAACGGGCAGGCTGGGGGTGCAGTAAGAGCTGGGAGGGGACAGACCCAGGACAGGTGACCCAAACTAGCCAAAGGGGTATTCCATACCATCTGACGTCATGCTAAACAATATATAGGGGTGGCTAGCCGGGGGGAGGGGGCCGGACTGCTCGGGGTTAGGCTGGGCATCGGTCAGCGAGTGGTGAGCAATTGCATTGTGCATCACTTGTTTGTACATATTATTATTACTTTCCTATTATCACCATTGTATTATTATTATTATTATTGTTATTATTATTATTATTTTTGTTATTATTATTTTCCTGTCTTATTAAACTGTCTTTATCTCAACTCACGGGCTTCACTTTCCATTTCTCTCCCCTGTCCCAGAGAGGGAGGGGGGAGGGTGAGCGAACGACTGCGTGGTGTTTAGCTGCCGGCCGGGTTAAACCACGACACCTATACATACTTACAATCAGGATAGGTAACAAACAATCCTTTAAGTTCCATAACTTACTAAAATCAAGTACGCCTATACATATTCACAATCAGAAAAGGTAACAGACAACCCTGTAAGTTCCATGACTTAACAGTCTCCATTTTCCATTCCTTTTGAACAATATGTCTCGCTTTAAGTTGTCAAGCAACTCCGCGGTCTTCAGGCCTTATGTATCCCGTCCTTCCCAAATTGAGGAAAAACATATCCATATCCTTTTAAGGCCAATGAGGCCTGGGTCAAAAGGCACATTCAGGTCAACAGGGGGCATAACAGCAAAGGCCTTTGATGGCTGTAGCAGCAGAGGGGCCCATGGAGTAGCAGTTGGATCTGTAAAGGAGCCCGCAGCTCCCTCACTATCTGGCAAACCACACATTTCTGACTGTGGGCCCACATGGCTTGTTAAGGCCTCAGAGGCTGCTCGCCAGGTGCCGAACAATCCCACTGCAACCTTGCCATTTTTAGTTGCAGAGTCCTACACCTTGACATCAATTTGGTCCCATATTTCAGGCTCATAAACTGTCCAATTGTTAGTAAGGATGAATAAGCTGTAAGATTACCAGGACAGTCTTTGATCCTAAGGACAAGTTCCTCATAATGTGCAACTGCTTACCAGTGAGAGGCAGTTGTGTGCATAGGTCTGCTTCTCTTAGCTCGAACTTCTCTCCAGTGTGCCTATTTCCAGCGACTTTCTGTACGAGCTTCTCTGAGCAGTTTGCTGAGTTTGGCCTGTGGGAATAGAAATGTTGTTTTTGCAGTTACATTGTTTAGAAGGAGGGAATGTGGTACTGAGATATGCTTACAGTGATAAGAAAGTTTAGCAGGCGACCTAGTAAAATGCAGACAACCAGACTCCTTAGGACAATTAGGTGAAAATCACGGTGTCATGTCAAGTCAGATAAGTGAAGAAACATTACCACTTCAAGCAGTAAAAATGTCAAAAGAAATTTGAAATTTAACAGGCCAGCAACTGAAGGCCATGCATTGTTTGTGAAGCATCAGATAGATTGTGAACCTGGATTACCCACGCAGTGGGGAACAGGGGAGGGTCCTGTCATCAAAAGGTATATAAACTGTGTTTTGGAACTAGTAGATGCGCTCTCTCCTGCTTGTGGGGCGCCCGCCATTGCAACCGCGAATAAATTACTACTTCACTGAGATCCTCGCCTGAGCCTAAGTTATTGGCTACGGAGTGTTTCTCACAGGCCGAACCTATCTTCATGAGGCAATCAAGTACCTGTTCCCATCCTGGTCTCTGATCTGCCAGCCTGTTCCTCTTCACTTCATTTTCCTGCTTCTTTATTGATGTAACTTCATCGTGTTGCCTTTTTTTTTTTTTTTTTTTTTTTTTTTTCTGCTTTCTTGAGGGCAGGCTCCCCTCTTATACCCTTCGCTCCACAGCAGTCCTTTTCAAAACAACTTTTCATTTGTCAAACAGCTTTGAATGTAACAACAACAGCAAACACCCAGAAATTTCCATGCCTTAATGGCTGGAGAACAAGAAACCAGAGACTGCATGGAGTCTCCTGAATCACCGTTCTTTGTTCTCTCTAAACTCTTTTATATGCCTGAGGGCCTCGTCGTTAAGAGTCTAATGTTATCTCAACCACGGGGCTTTCCAACCCCCATGGCCACATTCCCAGATCTCCCCCTTCTTTATTAATATCAACCATTTTCTTGACACGAATTTCCACTCCATATATAACAAAACGTAACATTACACAATTAAAATAAAAGAGAAAATAATATATTTAAGAGATATTATATATTTTTTCCATTTTTTTTTTTTTTTAATCAGAACTGTCAGTAATACAAAGCATAAAGGTGACAAAACTCAAATAAAAAAAAAAAAAGAAGTTGGACACAAAAACTCACAAAACCACATATCCACTAACTCCTGTCCTGAGAAATAAGTCTGAGTTTATGTCATCAGACTTTGCTGCTATCAATTACTATGCTCAGCAGAGTGTTGAGAATCTTTTCAAATGAAAAATTACTGGTGAATGAACCTCTAAAGAAGGTTTAATTTGCATAACCATACAAAGTTTATCCTAACTGTCTGGGCCTTTAGGTAATCAGAGTGGAAGGGAAGAAATCTATTCCCTTCCCTCATGACTTCCACTAAAACAATCTTATGCGTGGCAAAGCTTTCTCTTCTGTTCTTCATACAATAATAAACTCAAAAGGATGATTTACAGATATTTTCTTTTTAACTATCACTTATCTCCCAACTTCATTCCCTGTCAGGGTCTGCTGTCTTTGTTAAGCACAGGCACAAGTAACAGCAGGAGATTATGGGAAGGAAAGAAATCTATTCCTGCACTTTTACAATGGAGCTGCTTTTAAGAGATGGGGCTGTTCAGACTTGACTGTTTTGTCCTCTTCTAAAGACTCTTAAGGGAAGCAAAAACATGAAGGTGAAGAAGAATGGTGTGATCTCTCCCTGGCAAATAAATCTAAGGAAGCCCATAGGAACTTCTACCTGAAGTTTTTGTGTTGGCATGTGTGTCAAGTTAGTAATGAAACAAGTCTTAGGAAAAGTACTTTAATTAATGCCTGAAACTTTACTTCCCTTCCCCGATAAGTGAAGTAGCTTCCAAAGGCTTTGGCAGCCTAGCTTCCAAAACTGCAGTCAGTTCCACATCTGGGCTGTCTCAGTTTCAGATCCACAGATGACCCCCACAAAACAAAGGGAAGAGCTATACTACTTACTTTTATTGTTTTTGAGTTGAATTCTTAATTTCAAAAGGGAAACTGAATGAAATTTTGAACAATTTTATGAAGAAAGATTTCCCCCCTTTTTTTACTTCTAAATTTCCCAGCAAAAATGAATACAGTGAATATCATAGTTGAACACAAGACTTCAATACCTGAACCTGTTACATTGTAATGAATGCTTTTAGGAGAATACTTACTGGATAAATTAATTACTTTGGGTAAATGATAAATATCCATGTCAAAGAAAAATAACTGAAAACTTCTCTCCAAACAACACCCTTTCTCAACATTAGTAAGGTGTTTTTAACAATATAAATGATTCCACTAATTAGCATATGACCTTGAATTAAAAAGTAAATCTTAACACTAGAAAAATAATACTTATCATTTTAAAAACAATCTATTTTTTGCATTAATTAATTAAATATGTAAATTTATTTTATTTTAACATGTAAATTAAATATTTCCTTTATTTAATGGAACATATCCACTCACTTGAAATTACAATTAGTCTGCCTGAATTGCTGCTTTGGAGTACTGCCTTTAATGTAAAATCTGTGAAAGTCTACAATTTTTTTATTATTTATTTATTTATTTATTTTTATGGTAATAAGAACTATGTCTAGTCTTCCTCTATGCATATGTATTTATTTCTGAAGTGCTTTGAACTGCATTGATACTGCCTCAGGAAGTTTCCTTAAGTCTTTAACTCTACATAAATTCCAACAGATTGATCAGGTAGATTCCAAACCAGAGCTGCTGCAACTCCTTTTTTGCGAATTGACTATTTTTATTATTTTTCAGACAGTATACTTACCATGAATCTACTTAACTCCTTTTTTGCGAATTGACTATTTTTATTATTTTTCAGACAGTATACTTACCATGAATCTACTTAAGATTTACAGTTCTCAATGGTTAGAAATGACAGTCTCATTGGACTTCATCTCCTTCATACTCATTGTAACCTAGATTTCCCTTACTGGCTCAGATCTTCATTTGAAGAAAATTTCTGGTGATTCAAGCTTCCAATTACAGAATTTCCATGCCAATTTTATCAATTAACAGGATTGGCTTATTTTGTTTACAGAAAATTATATTTGATAGACAGATATTTATTCTAATACTTAATAAAAATTGAATTTGACCATACAATGAATATGAATTCAATGAATTCAGTACTATCTATGAAAAACAATGAACTCAGCTTGTTTAGTGCTTTGGCTAACTTATTTATTTATTTATTTATTTATTTTTAGCTTAAAGAAATAGCTCTACAGACAAACCTCAGATCTTTGCACACAGACTAAGGAACATGAATGCACAGGCCACAGTAGAGTTATCCTTCTCTTGTAGGAATAAATACATAGAGGACTGCAAAAAGACTGTTTGTTAAGTGTGTCAGGTCTGGAATACATCAGAAAGTAGTTGCTAGAACTTTACCATTTATTCAGTCTTAAATTTCTGAAAGTAAAAAAAAAAAAAAGCCAGAAGTCAAAACTAAACCTCAAAATCCTAAAGAAATGAACTCTCAGACAGCTGAAGCAGCTCAAGTTGTGTTTTAATTCTGCAGAATATTATTTCCTAATAGTTTTATTAGTTTCCAGAAGTACTTGAGTAAATGTTAACCGTATAGAACTGGAAAGATTTCTGTTTCCACATCACATGCATTTCCCCTGTTTGAAGTATGATAACTGTGAAAGTTTTTGGAAGAGAAAAAAGATTTGTTTTAGATTTCTCCCTCTTAGAGGATTGCTAAAAACACCACCATATATAGAGCAAAATGCAACACTCATGTCTTTCCCAGGAGAATAATAAAATAACAGAAAATTTTCACAATGAATAAATCATCTGCAGGTGAAGAAAAATAGGAGGCATTTTGGCCTCAGGAAATAAGGTTATTCTCCAAGAATAGATAAAATAGACAAAATATTGTTATCTCAATATGATTAGATTCATGCTGTTTTAGAACAACCAGCATTAGATAAACTTAGTGTTTTCAAAACCTTTGAGAAGACTGTGCTCATTGGTGAAGAAATTCCTAAATTTCTTATAAACACGTTAGGCCTGGCTTCATTATAGTACAATTTTTGTACAGTTCATTTTATCTGCAGGATTGTAATGCACTGTATTCACAAAAATTGCCCTCCTGAGCATGTCCATTTCACTGTTTAGCACATGCTGTATGTTGCAGGTTTGAAAACAGACTGTATCCACCCTTCAATGGGCTATCCCAAATACGATGAGGGAAGATCACTCTAATTCTTCTGTTGCTAGGACTAATAGAATCAGAATGGCAGTAATAACAGCAAATGTAATTTTCCTGATCTGGCTGTACTGACAACTGTAGCACTTTTTAACAGGCTCATGGTTTTTTACTGATGATAAAACACCAAACCTCAGTTTTGATTGTATTCCCCAATACACCTGAAGCAAAATGTTCTGTCTTCACTGACTTTTAAAAACTAACCCAGTTTAAATCCCCACTGTGGATCAGAATTGACTGATGAAAAGTGGCACAAATTAGGACTCAATCTCCATAGATACATGGTAATATGTAACTGAAAGAGGTAATTTCTTTAGCTAGTGTAGTAATTTCCAAGGCAAATATATGTCGGTAGCTTCAGAGAATCCCAAAGATACTCAAAACTGCAGTTATTGTAGGGCATCCCAAAGAAGTCTTGACAAGCAGAGTAAGTCAAGGTCAACTATTCTGAAAAATGAAAAGATTATAATATGACAGTGTAATATTGCAAGCATTATTTGCTCGCAAATTGAATGGATATTAACATTTCAGCAGCAGCAACAGTCAAACAGGCCAAAGATAACATGGAAAACAGTGATAAAGAGTGGAAAATGGCCTATCTGCTAAGGTCCCACACCCAGATTATAACAACAGTAGTTGCAGAACTTGCATGTCTTGCTTCTTTTTGACTACCAGGCTTGAGCTATTGTACATGAAAAAGGAAAAGCTGATAATGAAAATTAGAAATTCTTCATACCTCACTTTCTGTTTGTGGTTAGATCAAGCTATTATTAAAGGCAGAATTGATATATCTGAATCTTTATAGAAAACGCTACAGCTTAATAAGGTGAGCTCCCTTTTTAGCTGAATTCCTGTTATCACACTTGCAGGTCTGGATGTGAAATGACAGTGCCATTATTGTTATCATCGTTCCTTATCTGCTGAAGGACATTTGAGCTAAAGCAGTGCAAAACTCTTCTGACAAATTCCAAAACCATGGTCAAGACACCTAACTTCAGATCTACTTAAAAAGTGAAAGTTACTGCTACTCTTGTTGGTAGGTTTCTCTGATGCTTAATCTTTTTAAGACTTTCTAGGAATATTAGAATTTTTCTGGATAAATTTTTCTCTAATGAGCAATATTTCTCTGCAAACAGTCCTTGTGATGTCTTATTTCTTACTGTTGTCTTCTGAAATAGAAATAAACCACAAAATTCTTTGTACTACTGCATGATTTTTTTTTCCATGCTCTGGGTAACCTTGCTCCAATTCCATACTTCTTTGTTAGCTAATCCAAGGCTTGACACCATTTGATTCCAACCCCTCCCACCCTTATTTTTTCTTTACCAAATATCTCTTGTTCATACCTTCTGCCTTGTTTCCCAGTCAGTTCTTGCTCCCTTGCCCAGGTCCCATTGGTGAATCGCCATACTCCTTCAGCTCTTCAGCCACTATATTCTCTTTTGCTTTTGTTCACATTCATTTGTACAAATGTATTGAATTAATGGCTATACATCACAGTTTACTCGAAGTTATGATTTACTGTTTCTTGTCATCAAATTCCTAACTGTCATCATCAAAATGCAATGGTGTTCAACGAAAACAAAAGTGTATTGAAAAGTTGCTAATTGCAGTTTTCAGCTTTGCCGCTTTGCCAATAAAATAGGTTTCCTCTCAAGGGTGGTCTTGAAAAATGATCTTTGTAAGCAATAGTTTTTTTTTGTTTTGTTTCCCAGCTCCTATAAGAAATGTGCTTGTTTCATGTTTAGAAGAACATAAACACAAATAATCTCTTATTCTGTATACACTGTATACTCTAGCTTGAATTCTCTTTAAGAGAATCTTGTCTGAAAAAGAAGGTATTTCAAAATAGTCATTAGAATAATAATAATGGATTTGCTTTAATCTTCACAGTCTTTTTGTTTGCTGTGAACACTTGTAAAAAAGCTATTTGGTCTTCAAAACCATTCCAAGAAAAGGCCAGTATCATGCAAAATTTATTCAGATGTGTTAGTGCAGATGCTTGAAACTAATGTCTGCGAAGTTATCATAAAATCCCTTTGATCTCCCTACTACTGTTGTTAAAAATTTGGGTTCTCCACTGCAAGAGGTAAAATAATGCCCTCTGGTTTGTGATCTAAAAGAAGCAAGTGGTCTGTGAACTTGAAATGTGTAACAGGGAGTTACTGTACTTTCATGAATACTGAATAAATACATGTAAATAAATAAAAGCAATAGTGGTGTAGTGCTGTAGTGTTCAGTAGTTCAGGTTAAAGAAGGGAGATGTATGTATAGCAAATGTTATATGATACGATAGTTTGTATAACAAACATACTTCTCCATGATTCTTGGTGCATCTTGAGCCTTCTCTCTTCCCTAAGTAATCCTCTTTCTCTGACCTCAAGTCACATCTACATCTAGTCCTGAATGAGGTGATTTAAGAAGTCAGATCCTGCTATTTTTAAAAGTTATATTTGCCAAAATGTAGAAATGAACATTTATGATCAAATAACAACATTTGTCAAAGAAAAAGTAATTCAATAGAAAATTCTCTCTCATGAGAAAGATCTTTTTGAGGACTACATCGATCAATCTTCATTCAACTTTTCCTGGTACTTGGTGTGGAAAACTGGGCTCTGTTTTTGCATTTATAATGCTGAAATAATGTATTTTATGTTACACACACAGATCCTGAAGTTACCACACTGAACACATTCAAAGCAAATGATGTTTTTTGTCTTTTCCATTAGAACTCAGTGTAAATTGGAGACCAGACCAAGTAACCTTTAGTTACTTGTTGCTCTTGTGGAGTGGATTTTGCTGTTTATCTATGGGAACAGCTTAAATGCTGTAGAGAATATGCTGTGGAGTCAAGGAAGTCTGTGGGCAGCTGTTTGGAAAAGGGGAAGTGAAGTCCTTTTACTGCTTGATCTTCCTTTTCGTCTTCAAACAAATCTGGGAGTTGCATTGCATTTAACCTGCTCTCAAATCTCTTAAATAAAGAGGAAAGTATTCAAAAGAAAATTAACCCAGCCCCATAATAATGAAATTTAACCATCGCTTCACTTAACTTTGTGTATATCAAGACTGTATTTTTTAATAGCCTGATACTGAGCTTTTAATTTGCATTTTCTGAATTATTTCAGTATGGTCTAGAAAAAATTACACTAATTTTATTTTATACCTTCATATTTTTATCAAACCAAAGTGCATTTTATACCTCAAAATAATTGCCAAGAGACATTGTTATGTTCCAACAGGCAGGTGAGGAAAATCTCTGATTTTCACCAGAGATAATTCCAAAAATGTGAGCTTTAAAATAACCGAAACAACTGTGTCTCATCACGGTTTGAATACTTCCAAGTATTGAAATTCCACAGCCACCTCATCTGATTTATTTTGTTGCCTTGTTAGAGTTATTTCTTAAAAATATATTGTATTTATCTCATTAGAATTATTCCTGAAAGGTAAAGTCACTTGTACATACAGATTATATTCTGGATGTAGTTATTGAATAAAATGATTTGTTCACATCAAGAAATGTCAGATTATAAAAAGATTGGCAGAGATCACATTCCAAATTTTAATAATGTTTATTCTTGATAAAATAATTTGAAAACTGTAAAATGCCCTTTGCTTTTCTGCTCCTGCAAAAATGCTTTTATCTATAAACATGAAGAAGAAGATCAGTCTTCACTGTGGTAATTTCTGTTGTTACAGAATTCTGCTCAAGTAATACATTTAATAATACACCTATTTCCAGTTCATTCAGACCATTAGATCTTTTTATTCTTTTTTTTTTTTTTCCCCTCTTTCCTCTTAAATCCACATATTACTTCATATTTTTTTCTCACTTTAAACCCAAGCTTCTCTGATAGTTTCAAATCTCTCCATAGCAACACACTGCCTTCATTTTGATGTTTATCCTTTAGTCTCCTGTCTACACAAGCTTTGTTTTAATTTCAGAGGTTTGTTCACAGTCCAACACTCGCAAAACAGTTTCCCATTTAATCTTTATTTTTCTCCCACTCATTCATTCTTGTAAGTATTTCCGGAAGACTACTTACTGTTCAAAAAACCTTCAGTTATGTTCCAAGTATTATAGCAGTTAATGTTTCAGAATTTTATTTGTTGATGTTTATCTGAGCACCTGAATGAATTTGCATAAACTATAAGATGTTCCTTTTGTAATTATGTTGCACAAGTATTGTTGCTAAATAAATCAGCAAAGGAACATTTTCTGAATCAGTGAGTTTACAGAAGGTGTGCACTAAGTTTCAGAATTTTTAATTCTTAGATATACCAGGATGCTCAAACACTACTGGAATACTTCATGATTCTAAATAGACTAAATAGACTGCCTGGGAAGAACTCTATTGGGAAGCCTTGCAAGAACAACTATGTCTGCAAATCCTAGAAATCATGATAATCGTAGAAAACATGATAGTCACTCCTGGTAGTGAAAGAATTAATGGAGATATTACACCTAGTGATCAGACCCAGTCAGCATGGGTTTGTGAAAGGCAGGTCCTGCCTGACTAACCTGATCTCCTTCTCTGTCAAGATGACCCTCTTAGAGGAAGATTGAAAGGCTGTGATATTATTGGACATCATCAAGGAATTTGATGCTGTTTCCCATAGACTTCTCCTGGAGAAACTAGCTGCTCATGGCTCAAACAGATGTACTGTTGAGTAAAAAGACGTCTAGATGGCCAGTTCCAAAGGGTTGTTATAAATGGAATTAAATCCAGTTGGCAGCCAGTTACAAGTGGCATTTCTCAGGGCTCAGTATTGGGGCCAGTTTTGTTTAATATCTCTATCAATGACATTAATGCGTGGCTTGAGTGCACCCTCAGTAAGTTTGAAGATCACGCCAAGTTGTGTAGGAGTGTTGACCATCTTGAGAGTAGGAAGACTTTGCAGAGCAATCTGGATAGGCTGGATTGACAAGTCACATCCAGTCACATGACATTCAGCAAGGCTATATGCTAAGTGCTGCACTTGGGTCGTAACAACCTCATGCAGCATTATAGGCTGGGGAAAGAATGGCTGTAAAGTTGCCTTGCATAAAAATGCCTGGGGGTGCTGGTTTACAGCCAACTGAATATGAGCCAGCAGTGTACTCAGGTGTTCAAGAAGGTCAATGGCATCCTGGCCTGCATCAGAAATAGTGTGGCCAGCAGGACTAGGGAAGTGAATGTCTGCAGCTCTGGTGAGACTGAATCTTGAGCACCATGTCCGGTTTTGGGTCTCTCGCTACAAGAAGGATACTGAGTTGATGGAACACATTCAGGGAAGAGTAAAGAAGCTGTTAAAAGAAAACAAGACATATAAGGAGTGGCTGATGGAACTGTGGAAGCCTAGAGAAAAGGAGGCTCAGGGGAGCTTATTGGTCTCCACAACTACCTCAAGGGAGGTTGCCGTGGGGTGGGGGTTGGTCTCTTCTCCCAAGCAGCAAGCAATAGGACAAGAGGAAATGGCCTCAAGTTGCACCAAGGGAGGAGTAGGCTGGGTATTAGGAAAGATTTATATTTTGCTTTCAGGTGTTTGGAAGTATTGGAATGGGTTGCCCAAGGAAGAGGTTCAGTCACCATCCCTGGAGATCTTTAAAAGATGGTTAGATGTAGAGCTCAGTGATATGGTTTAGTGGAGGACTTATTAGTGTTAGGTCAGAGGTTGGACTAGGTGATCCTGGAGGTCTCTTCCAACCTAGATGATTCTGTGATTCTACAATGACAGAAGTGCAAATAGTACCAGTTCACTTCAAATCACTTGAGTGGGGTTAAGCTCTAATTAATGTTAACTTCCACTATAAGAATTTATCCTAGACTTTGTTTCTTAGTTCCACCTACTACCATCTACCTACTGCCAAAATGGGGGTGCTACTGTGAACTATGATTTCATATTGTGGAGATGGTTTAAAATCCAGTGCATACATTGTTGTACATAAGCATAGCTATCTTGGTGTTCCAGGCTACTCATTATGGTGACTCAGTTCCAAATTGAGAACTTCCAGAAACGAATGGAATGACTTTCCACACTGCCACTGTCATTTCT